GTCACGAAAAGAGTCCCAGTCAGCTTTAAGGTAGTTGTAAGATGTACGATGATAGGGGGATTCTAATGGTAAAGAAGAATGAGATAATAGTTTTAGAGAGACCAAACCATGATCAGACGCACCTAAGGGTGAGTGTGAAGAAACTGAACACTGACTAGGATCCGAAACAAGACATAAGTCGAGTAGAGAAGGTAAATGATTTGGGTTGTCTGGAAAGCGAGTTGGAAAGTTGACTATTTGAGTTAGGGATTGAGAAAGACAAAAGTTGTGGGCCTTAATGCCTGCCGAGTCACTGACACTAGAGCCAAGCCATTCAGTGTGATGAACATTAAAGTCACCGACAACAACAATATTGGCTGATGGATAAAGAATGAGGGCTTGGTCAATATAATCAGAAATAACATCAAGAAGAGTGCAGTCTTGGGATGAGGGAGAGCGATATAGAACAAAGAGAAAGGTGATAGAGTGAAGTGGTGCTAAACGAAAGCATATAAAAGAGTAGTCTGTGGATTCAAACCTAGTTTCCCAACAAATAAGTGAATTCTTACGAATGTAAATGCCCAGGCCAAGCATGTGACTATTGGTGTCTTTACGAATTAAAGGAAGATAACCATCAACACTAAGATCACAAGATGAGACAGCTGAACTCAAATTAGTCTCACAAAGAGCAAGCAGGTCTGGTGAACTTTGCAAGAGATAAGACTCAACAGAAGAAAAGTTACTTCGAAGACCACGAATATTGGTGAATGATAGGTTTAGCGAACTTGGTGATGACTGTGGTTTTTTGTGTTTTATAGTTTTTGTTACTTTATTCATTTTTAAATTTGTTAAAGAACTTGACTCGAACATTGATAGTAATCAGTACACTGTTCTATAGCTCAAGCAATTGCCTCATTTCCACTAATAAACCCTAAGCCGTTACAAAGGGCTCCAATGTGGCCTTGGCAATGCACACCAAAAGTACAAACAGGGACACCATCCATGCGCAACATGGCACTGTAAGTACTCTGATATTTTTCAGCTGTTGATAGAATCAGCCTTTCTGAGAGCTACCACAAAGTTCGGGAAACCTAACTACCAGCCGGCCTCAGAACCATAAAACTGAGTTTTAGAGCTGTACCCTCATTTGGAGATAATAGAATGAGTTGCCTAGTCATAAAAACAGAGACACAAGCAAAACCCATGAATCGAGTCAAGAAGATCCAGCGTTCAACATCCTAAACTGGAAACAATGTATTAAAAATACATCTGCGCCAGCCTAATAGAAAAAGCATATCCTACAAGGCAGCAGAACATGAAGCAGATTGTACTGGGTTACATGTTACCAGTAGCAGGATAAACCTGAATTCGCAGGATAAACCTGACCTGACTGATAATTTTATTTTTTTAGGTTTTATTAGGTTGGTTACTGGGCTGGTTTAAAAAAAATATTTTATTATCTGTTAATGATAAATCTTAATATAATTGCTAAATTCAATGTTTAATGTTCAATGTCGTTTAACTTTCATTTTTTAATTAGTTTTAGTTACTAGTTTTTTTTGAATTTGAAAAAGCACATTCTCAAAATGTACATGGTCATCGAAGAAAGATCTTCTAAGCGAGTTAAAACTTTTTACCTTTTGGAATTTAATTATTATTCATTGTATTTAAAAAAATTAATTATTTATAGTAAGTAAAAAAAAACTATTTTCAAGTATAGAAAATAGTTTTTTTTACATATTACATTTTTACTAGATATAAAGTAAAAAGGATCACCCCTTATAGTTTTTTACGTTGTTTACTTTGTTTTTATTTTGTTTGTTTTAGTTTTTCTTTTAGCATTATTTTTGTTTTGTTTTTAGCAGTTTTGTAGTGTTTTTACGACTATTAAATAATTTGACTGTCAACTAAATTGGCTAATATATTTTCAAATATAAGTTGAATAAAATCAACTATTACATTTTTGAAATCGATTAATCGAAATATGGAAATAATTTATTTTTTTGAAATAAATTGTAATAAAAATAATAAAGTAATTTATATTCACTTTCTATTTTTTAACATCATATCATTCAAATAATAATGGGCAGAACAATAGGAGAGAAGGGCTGCTCTGACAACAGGACAATCTATTCCCAGACCCTAATGATTTAAAGACCGTTTTAAATACTTGCTATATATCAAGAAGTCAATTTATATAACAATTATATTTAGAATGTGATTGTATAGATGACATTAAAATTTTGGAGCTTCACAATTTAAATTTGCATCAGAGCTTTGAGCCAGCTCGGAGCGGTCTGGTATGAAAGTATTTATAAAAATTATAAGCATCGAGGTAACAAAAGAAAAAAAATAAGTAATGAAATACATAATCAAAAGTTTAATTAGGTAATAATAAAATAATGCTAATATGCATATTAAATAAAAATATTAATTAATTTAAGAGAGTAAGAATAAGCAGAATAGTTATAAATAAGCCAACACAAATTATTTTGCCAAATATAAATTTGTTTTTTTTGTAGTTTCTAAACGCGTTTCTTTTAATCACAACACTTTAAAACATTTATAAATAAATTTGTATTTAATTATATTTTTTTAGATAATAAATCAAGTTATAATGTTGTTAATGATTTAATTCTCTCTCTGACTATTCTCACCCCCAACCACTACAATTAAGCAAGTGAGAGTATTACTATAAACACAGAATGTAATCGTTAACAGGTTATAATGTAAACATATTTATTACTTGGTCAAAATGGTCAAAAATTCTTATTAAAATTGAAAAAATTTTTGTGACATTTTTTTAAAGGGATCCCCAACTACCAAGACAAGTTATGTTCATATTAAAGAAAATGTTTAAAAAAAAAACATTTGGGCTAAATTTTTTTGATTGAAACTAAATAATGAATGCATACCAACAAAATTAAAACTATTGTTTTAGTTGAAGCTTGCCTTCTCCATTTTTTTTTGGTTCTTGGGGTCTGTATAATGTTAGCCGCAATCTGCCGACTTGATAATTTATTCCATGCGTGTGTAATTCATAACAGTTTTGGTATATGACATCATTGCAATATTTTTTTAAGATAGCGTTTTTTTGTTGTTGTTTTTTTAAAGATATAAGTGTTTTTTCTACTACAATCAGAAAATCAAATATTTGTATAATTTTTTACTAAATCACAAAAATTTTTTGTGATTTAGTAAAAAATTATTCAAATATATATATATATTTTTATATTTATAATTTTTTTTTTTACTTGTTAATAAAAATATTATTACTTTGAATGTTAATAAAAATATTATTACTTTGTTATAGAGGCCAGTCAAAATCATGACACAATTATACATATTTTGTGATTATTAGAGTTCGCAGGCAGAGAAAAAATAAAGGCAGTATGATGTGGTTTTTTGTTTTATATTTAGTTCATATAGTTCAATAGAGTTGTTCATTTTATGTTTAATTTACATTTAGTTATGGTATAACTCTTTCACTACCGCAAGCCACTGGTAGCAGTTTTTGAGTATGCTTTACAATTTATCTTGTTTTGTACATAAATCTCCATTATATACACATAGAATTTGTTTGTTCTGAAGGGTTAATTAATTCTATACATAATCAAGAAAAAATAAGAGCTATATTGTGTTATTATAAAAAAGTTATAACAAAGTTAAAAAATCTTAAATAATCCTTCATGAAGAAAAACTTTAAATTTAGTTATAAAACTTAACTTGTAGAAGTGTTAAGTAGGTTTATAGAAGTAGGTTTGTAGAAGTGTTAAGTAGGTTGCCTATTTAGTTAAGTATTTTGAAGAAAAAATATTATTTTTATTCATTAAATGAGGTTTGTTTTGGACTTAATGTTTTAGTTACTACTTAAAAAAAAAAAAGTATTAAGCACTTTGCATTTATAACTGTTTAATGATGCGTGTTAAAATTTTATTATTATCGAATTTTAAATAATTGTCAATGTTATGCTATTCAAATGTTATTCAAAAAAATGTGCAGTTGCTACAAAAAGATTTTTGCTTGGCTGGTAGCAAACAATTTGATGTGATTCTTTGTTTTTATATTTATATTATAACAATTTCTTGTTTATTTTAGTATAAATATTTGCTTTAACTTTAATTTAGTTTGATTTGAACGGTTATTAGTAAAATTAGTTGTTTAATATTTTTTTGTCTACTTAGATCAGTTTATATGTTTTATTCAAGTCACTATTTTTTTTTTCAGTTTATACTTTAAATTAATTTATACGCCTTTGTAAAATTATTATTCTTTTAGTATTTAGTTTTTATTTAGTTTAAACCACTACGTTTACTGTAAATACTTGTTATATATTAAATTCTTATTTTTATAAATTTTATAAATTTAATTTTTAATTGTATCATAAACCTTTTTTGGGATTAAGTAAAAAGTTATATAATTAACATGATTTGGTGATTTTGGAAAAAAAATAATACGACATCTTGAAAGAAAAAATATATACAATGAAGTCATATAACAAAACTGTTATGAATTAAACATGCATGGAATAAATTATCAAGTCTGCAGATTGCGGCTAACATACAGACTCCAAGAACCAAAAAAAAATGGAGACAGTGAGCTTCGACTAAAATGTGAATTTTAAATTTAATGGTGTGCATTCATTATATAGTTTTAATCCAAAAAATTTAGCCCAAATGTTTTTTTTAAACATTTTCTTTAATATGAACACAACTTGTCTGGGCAGTTGGGGATCCCTTTAAGTAATAACTTTTTCTCTCTTTTTTTCAAGTTTTTTATTTATTTTAATTTTTGACATTTTAAATGTCTTAAAATTAACGTTTAACAAAAACTAAATATATTAAAAGTTGTATAAATTTTCATTTTTATACATATGTTTGTTTTAGTTTTTGATATTTTAAGTTTCTTAAAATAAACATTTAACAAAAACTAAAAAATATAAAAAATCTTACAAATACAGGTTTCATTTTCACACATATATTTAAACTTTAAAAAAAATAATAAAATAAAATAACTTATACCTATACAACTATTACTTTCATACAACATCCATCCTTCTTCACAAGAGCAATTAAAACTACCATTTGTATTAATACAAATACCATAGTTCCAGTTGCACAGAGAGCTTGTGTTACATTCATCGATATCTATTGTCAAGTTAAATTAAAAAAATTTAATTTTTTTTTTTTTGCACCTGAAAGACTTTATTTTATTTTGTTTTTGCAAAAGATGGTTCCTGACACAGATAAAACATTTGATTTAATCAAGGCTGTCATTAACTTCAATAAGCAAAAAATATTAAATAATAATAATATTTAAATATAATAATATATAAATGAATAAATGATATATATATATATATATATATATATATATATATATATATATATATATATATATATATATATATATATATATACATATATATATATATATATACATATATATATATATATATATACATATATATATATATATATATATACATATATATATATATATATATATATATATATATATATATATATATATATATATATATATATATATATATATATATATATATATATATATGTATATATATATATATATATATATATGTATATATATATATATATATATATATATATATATATATATATATATATATATATATACATATATATATATATATACATATATATATATACATATATATATACATATATATACATGTTCTATTTATCAGTCATTTTAGTAGCACTCCTTGCATGTTCTACCTATTTGGCAGTTATTGTATGTTAACTCCTTTGCATGTTCTACCTATTTGGCAGTTATTGTATGTATACTCCTTGCATGTTCTAGCTATCTGTCAGTCAGTGCATTAAAAATAAAAAATATTCCAGTTTATTAAGTTGCTTTTTGTGGTTTTGTAAAAACCTTAACTTTTTAAATTTAATTTTAATTTCCTCAAATAAATTTAATATTTTTTTCATAAAATTGACTTGATTTAGTTATTTTTAAATATAAATTCTGAAAACAAAGTCAAGGTATAAATATAAAGTATATAATAAGGTAAATATAAAGTCTGAAAAACTTTACTAACTACAAGCTCCATAACATAGTCACTGCATGTCATATAGCACAATTTTTTGCCAGTGAAATTTAGTGATCTTTTTTAGCAACACATATACACTGTTAACTTGTTTCTCAGTGCAAAAGCCTTGTTCATCAAGGCTTGTGTTTCGAAGTTATAGAGTTGAGAGAGGGTTGTATACGTACTAACTAAAAGTAACCTTCTTGACTGTGGTAGTCTTCATGGCCTTGCAGAGGTAAATTGAAATAAAAAAACAACAACTTTATTATGAATTATATTAAAAGATCTTAATTCTAAATTCATCCTACATGACCTACATATAAAATAAAACCTTCTTCAATCAAAAATCTAAACTACAGTTTAAAGCTCATTTCAGCTTCATTAAAAAAACTTAACAAAAGTGTTTACTTGGTTGATATCTTGGTAATCTTGAACAAAAATTAATTTATTGCTATAAAAGCCAAATGCAAAATGCAAAAATTTTTCTATAAATTTATCTAAAAAGATCCGAGCATTTTAATTAAAACTTTTGTAAAAAAAGATGAAAAAGAATTTAGAAACTAAGAAAAAGATGAAAAAGAATTTAGAAACTAAGAAAAAGATGAAAAAGAATTTAGAAACTAAGAAAAAGATGAAAAAGAATTTAGAAACTAAGAAAAAGATGAAAAAGAATTTAGAAACTAAGAAAAAGATGAAAAAGAATTTAGAAACTAAGAAAAAGATGAAAAAGAATTTAGAAACTAAGAAAAAGATGAAAAAGAATTTAGAAACTAAGAAAAAGATGAAAAAGAATTTAGAAACTAAGAAAAAGATGAAAAAGAATTTTTAAGATACTTTTTAAATATATACAAGAAATTTACTTGACACGCCATTTGCACTAGCTAGAAGCTAATTTAAAATCTTGCCATAAATCCATCTATCAGCTGTTTCATTATCAGAGATCTTGATAATGCAAAAAAGGAGTCAAACTCATTACTAAAGAAGTAGTTACTAAATAGTTACTCAATTCTAGTCATTTATTTTATATTCATTGAAGCTACTTCAATGTCTTTGGATGTAGAAGTAAACTTGTTACAGAAAATGTTAATCAGTATTGCGCTCATTCACAATGCAGACCATATTCTGAAACAAGTTTACAACACATATTCTGAAAAAAGTTCTGAAACCATATTCTGAAACACAAGAAATAAGCAAATGCAATAGTGTTGTAAACAAGTTTACAACACAAGTAACAAGTGCAGTCTTCTCACTGATACTTTTGAATCTTGCAACTAATTGAAGTGAGATTAATAAGATTCTTACATTCAAATTTAACTAGAGAACAGTCCACCATTGGAAGCTATAAAGCACACACATCATATTATTGATTTTCTTTAAAGTATATTCATTGATGGTAATTTGGATTGTCTAATAGAACTTAATTTTGCAATGCACATTGCACACTTAAAATAAAAATATTTTTTAAAAATTGACTAAAAGATATATTAAATTGTTTTGTACATTTGTAGTGGAATATAATAAAAAGTAAAAAGGGTAAGCAAACCAAACATTTAAAAATATACTCAGCAGGAAAAAGTAAGCTTTTATGCAGAAATTTCTGATTTTCTAACTAAAATTGGAAGCAATACAATTAATTATTTAACCTGACATTCTGAGGTCCCCATTGAAAAAAGTATATCCTAAATATGTATCTAAAGACATGAAAATGGTTTATGAAAATACTATTATAATTCAATTATGCAAAATATATAACTTAAAAACTTGATGCCTAGTATAAACCATAAAATTTTAAAAGTCAAATACAATAATACATTATAATTAGATTCAAAAATGGGTTGAGGAGCAACCCCATTTATTTTATCCTTAGAGTTGCCATAACTTTGCACATCGTAATGACTGACAACTAAAAAATAGTATTTATTAAGACATAACTCCCTTGAAACTTAAAATAAAATGAAAAAATGATTTAGAGAGTACTTTTTATTTAGTGCATGTATGCCTGTATGTCTGTGTATAAATATATATATATCAGGGGCTATTCTAGACCATTTTCGACTATGCTGACCTTAATTGGGCACCGCCCAAACTAAAACGTTTTTAAAACAAATTTTAATTTTTTTTTTGGAAAAAAGCGCAAATTTTCTGCTAAATTATATATGTATATGTATATACGCCTATATATGTATATATATATATATATATATATATATATATATATATATATATATATATATATATATATAAATATATATATATATATATATATATATATATATATATATATATATATATATATATATATATATATATATATATATATATATATATATATATATATTATATATACACCATAGCCAATAACGTTCCATAGCCAGTAACGTTCTGGCAAGTTTGCAGGGTTATCCACTTACTCAATGTAAGTGGACTTTTTTTCCTTTTTTAAACATGTGATGACTAATTTTGAGTAGCTAGATGAAGCTAAACCAGGACAATCATCTCATAGTAAGATAATGCTAAATCAGAATACATAAACACTCTCTGAATGAGACTTATTGATAAATGGAATAAGTCTCTTTTTAATGCATTTATTGAAACAGTTTCTTGATTATAGCTTGGTAGAAATTAGGCTGAGTAATATCAAAAACATTAGCATAATCTTTTTTGAACTAAAATTTTTAAAACTTTCTATTTTAAATTTAATAATTCAGTAAACTAAAGATCAGGTCAGCAAAAGATTCATTTTGGAACAGTCCTATCAACCTTTGGTTTACTGAACTATTAAACTTAAACTAAAAAGTTTATTTTCTGCCTTTTAGTACAAAAAAGATTATAATTTTTAATAAATGTTTTCGCTATATTTTTTAGCGTACAAAAAATTTGAGCAACAATGTAATGACAGCATTATTTGTATAAGCGTACAAATAATAATGACTTCCTAAAAATAAAACATTAAAATTTACAAAAACAAATCTTCCTGAGAAGAACTTGAACCCCCAACACAATCACCCCCATCATATAAGAAGAGCGTTATTACAAACACAACACTAGGCAAATGTATTGATGATGTAACAAATAAAAATCAAATTTATAGTCGAGTTACTTGCTGAAAAGTTCTGTTCAAGTAAAAAAAAATATCAGCTCTATTGATACTAAAATAATTTAACCTAAAATGATTCAACATAAAATAAGACTCATAGTTAATGATTGGCTTCTAGTTTTAAATATTTGACACAGTTGACTACACATAGTTCTAGTAATTATTTTTGCTGGTCTGCAAATTTAAAATTGATTTTTTTTTATGGTCTAATTTTTGTGTTTTATGTTTTTATGTTTTATTTTTTTAATATTAGTTATACGGAGTAAAGTTAAATTTGTGTGAGAAACTCCATTTGAGCTTTTTAATATTTGACTATTTTAAGCATTTCCTCTACTTCCTTGGACTCTTTTAAAGGACCTTTCACTTTCACAGATTCACTCTAAGCACCTTTAATTATCCTTTTGTCTTTAAGGTTTCTCAATTTTAAACAACTACTCTCAATTTAAAATTTGAAACTAAATAAAATTTATACACATCTTCTTGTTTTAAACTTATTTTATACTCCACTTTTTGAAAAGACAAACAAAAATAAAACCAGAATAAAATTTTAAAACAATTTTGCTTTTTTTTTTTACTTAATTCTATACATGAGTTATGTCTTTTTAAATACAGTCCAATTTTTCAGTTGTCACTCATTATCAAAAAGTTACAGGACTAGAAGGGTTGGGAACTATTGAAGAAAAAATAAATAAAAAACATGGGCTTCTAAATATTAAAAAAATTAATTTTTAATAATCTAGCATTTAATTTTACATTAGGAAAATGAAAAATAAAAAAAATTATATGAGATTTAACTTTGTAAATTTGCAAACTATAACTTAATGAACCTACCAATGCAACTGCTGCTATTGAATAACACCCATCCATCCTGACAAGAACAATTGTAACTACCATTTGTGTTGATACAAATACCATTATTCCAGTAGCACAAAGAACCATCACTCTCGCATTCATTTTGATCTCAAGAAAAAATTTAAAATATAAAAATTAAACCAGATTCAAATTCAAATTCAAAAATTATTCTAGATTCAATAACAACTAGTTTTTTTTTTAACAAACAAGGCTGCTGAACAAGTAAAAAAGTTGGTATTACCATGAATGTGATGAGAATTAAAATCTCATACAAGTTTTAACATATATAAAAGATTTCACATTGATTTATGGGAAGGGTGTGTTCTACACTCCCCTCCCCCCCAACTTCTGCTAATCCACCTTTTTTTTTTCAATTTTGGCTAATGAATTTTTAATTTATGTATGATAAATTATCAAAACAAAACATCATTTTCATCCATTTTTTTGGCGCTCAGATGTTTGCCTTCGGCAAATATCAGCTCAAATTTTAGCATAATGCAGTCAATTTCTAATGTAATGATGTTTTATCCCACTCTAAAAATCAAACAATGTACTAATTATATAATTATCAGTTTTGTATTTAAAAGTATAAAAAACATACAATAAGGAATTATAAAAACATATTTTACTTGAATGTATTAGTGCATGTTTGGTCATAATGGAGGGTTTTTTTTTACCCCCACCCCCCTCAACCTTAAAAAGTGCAAATAACTAAAAAAAAATTAGTTAAAATAAATTATTTCATAATTACAGATGCAATTCTAAAATATAACAAATTCTTTATTGAGGGACTGTAATTTGCCTATTAGTCAAAAATCAATAACAGTAAAAAAAGGTGTTCTTAAAATAAAGATTTAATAAAATGATTCTTGTCAAAAAATAGTAATTTATGATTATTTTAAAGATGACTTTCTTTAAAACTATTGTCTTGGCTTTTAGTAAATGATTGCAATAATAAATTCCATAAATGAAACTATTATAATAATCATTTTTAACGATAGACACCATGTAAAGGTAAACCAGAGCTGCCTATCAAAAATTTTTGTGAAGTCACAACACTTGCACTATGTTTTTGTCACGTCATAACACTTGCAGTAATTTTTTTGAATATAATAAGATAACACATTATATGTAACTTATGATAAACTGTTTAATTATTTTAAAAATATTATTATTATTAAAAAAAAAATTGTAACAAAATTAAAACAGGTGAAGGAGAAAAAGCTATTCCTTTGTATATTAAGTCATTTTTCTTATTGTCATTTTTTTCTACTCAGCAATTATATAAAACACATTTGCAATTGTTTGGTTCATACCATTCGTGGTCTAGTTTTCTCCTAACAATTCTCCCAAACATAAGTCCTCTAAATCATATAGTTGGTAGTTGGATAAGTTTATATATGAGTTTATAATTTCATTAAAACTCAGTTTTGATAGTTCACACTCTATCTTCGCTCTAACTTCCTTTTATCTTTTTCATCAACTTTTTGGCGCTTGTCTATGGCAAATCTCAGTTCGAATTTTAGCATGATACAGTCTCTAAATCTATATTCTCTAAATCTATTTTTATATGTATATTCTATTTTCTATAGTCTGTATTTTCTAAATCTATTTTTTTGTGCTATATCATTTTAAGAAGTTCTTCATCAATTCATAAACTTGTTACTGATTCTAAAATATTTGGCTTAATCGATTTTCCAAAAAAATCAGTCTGTCTGCAAAACAACCCTGCTGGATTGGATTTGCAATCTTGACTATTTGATTTTTGCAATCTTGACTACTCGAACTATTTATATAACATTTTTCAGAACCTGGATACCAGCAACAAGATCAAAAGTTGCATACTCTGATGTTACATAAAACCATTTCATTCAGGGTCCAGTAAGAATTTTTCCAAATACTGCTAGCACACACATTTGTTTGATTGTGGCTACACTACAAAATGCTTATCGAAGAGTTGCTTGCAAACTTTTACACTTTACTGTTCCAGTTGTAAAATATTATTTTAACTCACTGTAATGCTTTATCAGAATAAAACAAGTACAAAAAAGAACACAAATGCTGTTTCCACGATACCTTGGAATGATACCTCGTTGCAATTTGTTTTTGTCTAAAAAACTTACAAAACCTTGTGAATCACCTTTAACATCTTTATATCTCATTTTGTTTATAGATAGAATAATCAAAGTTGCCATGCAATCATTTCCATATTATTTATAAATCTCATTCTCTAGAGACTTTAATGCTAAATTACATGTGTGCCAATTGTATCAAGAGGTTACAAATGACAGTTTATTTCATTGAGATTTTTTCCTCAGGTTTCACAAACTTTGCTTACAGTAAGATGATTAACAGCAGCTCTGTCAGACATTGTATTTAACATGTTTTCATTAATTGAATTACCAGATTCATTATAATTACACACATATTAATCATTATAATTACACATAAATGCACACATTAAACATAGTATAATTAATAACATAATATATTTAACAACAAACAAGATGCAAATCAAATCAAAATATGTAGTTATACATTTTTATTATAAATAAATATTACAAAATAAAAAATATGTACAAGTGATGTAGAAATAACTTATACAAAACTTATACATATTTTCCATTCGATTATACTATAACAACCATTTTATTAAAATGGCATGTAAAGTTTACTTGTCTTCAAGTTTACTACTAGTAAACTTGAAGACAAGTAAACTTTAACTTAACTACAAATAATCCTAAAGTTGACTAGTTATTGCTTTTAGTAAATGCAACAACTAGTATTACTAGTTGTTGTATTAATATTACTACTACTAGTAGTACTAACAGTAATACTATTACTGTTAGTTTCTAAACTTGATGTTGGATAGCTCATTTTCTTAATTAAAATATAAAATTTTTTTAATATAAATTATAAATTTCATTTTTTTATTAAATTCTTCAAGAAAATTTAGTAATTAAGTTCAGAAAAATCAATACTTGTTTGTTTTAAAGAATGTTTATTCGCAACCCCTCTGCACTTATTTTACTCCCGGTAATAATTTCAAAAAAGGCCATTTAAGTAGTGGGTATGGAAATTTTAAAATAAAATTTTCCAGGTGCATAGAAAATGTGTAAACTTAAAAAAATGAATAATATAGAAAAAAAATGAGCATATCTTCAATGTTCACTGAATGCATGAAATACAACCAAATTTTCATCATCAATAAATCCATTTATAAGGTTTGAAATTAATATTATATATTAAAAAAGTATAATCATAGTAGTTTTTAAAAACTATAATATAAAATTTAATATAAAATTCTAAAAAATAAGAGTACAAAACACATTTCTACATCACTGTCCAAAAACAAACTTCAAAAAGCGTGGCACAGAATTTTAGCATAAGTATCGGTTCCATAAAACGCGTATTTTCGCATACCTATTAACGTACACCCTATCAACAAAAAAAACTCTGAAGCCCTAGTGTTTCAATTTTAAAATGAGTAGTAAACCCTGGTTGATATGACAAAATTAAAAATGATATGATAAAAAAAAGAAGGCGATACAAAAAGTAGTTGATAATTGAAACAATGAAAATATTCAACAATGAAATTATATATATATGAAATAAATAGAATGTCTATACTCAGGTTTTAGACTCCTTAAGTATAAACTATCATTAAGTCAAATTGTATATCCCCATATAATCCCAAGTCTTACCTTCTTTTTAGTTGAGAAGGATTTTTAAATAATTTTTCTGCCTTTTTCAAAACAATTATTATTGATCAGTTATTGAAATAAAATAAATATTTTTAATAATATAGGGTAAGGTGGGGCAAACTCGTCATATTATAGTTCAACAAAATGAATTTGCATATAAAGTTCTTTTTTCAAGTTTAATAATTTTTTTTCATTAATTAGGGTCTCTACTTTGTTAATGTATTGAATCAAAAAAATCATCAAGTCATGAGGGGTGAATTCTTTAATACGGGGCGAACTCGTCAGTACAGCTAAACTAACTGAAAAATAATATCACTTGGACAATAGATAAAATTCTTTAGTAGCAGTAAAGCCAGCTTACCCAGGAGAAAAAAAAACATTGACATAAAACATTATTGAGATAACAGTAGGATGATTTCCCTAATCTAAAACAGTAAACCTAGTTCTGAGTTCGATCCGCACTGCGTTTCTGGTAATACCACACTCAACTAGTTTTTTCTGCGCAGCAGCCTTGTTTGATTTTTTTGGACTGATTTATTGTGTTCCTTTTTTAACTTCTGTTTAACACTGATCACATTTTTTATTCAGCCTTTTTAGCAGGAGGCTTTTTTATTAACTTAATATTATCTGGTAATGTAATAAGAGCAATGTGGCGTTTTGAATGAGTAGCTTTGCTTTTTTTTCCAGAGAAGGTACAATAATCCTTAAAATAAATAAATTTGAATCTCCCTAGAGAATTGTTGTTTTATTAAAAACCTCTGTTTTTTTATAATTGAAGTCTTTCTCTAGGTTTCTTTTGGGATTATTTTCACTATTAACTTTTTTTCAACAACGAAAAAAATATTTTTTTAACTTCTATGTTTACTTGCAATATTTAAAAAATAATACAAGGTAAGTATATAAAACAATTATTAAATAATATTCTACAAATATCAGTCGAAAAAGTATCGAAAAAATCTAGTAAATAGATTTCTTAGTTTTTTTGCATTATTTGTTTAAAGCTGATTCGTACAAGTGACAGATTCGCTCTGTGACTAAATCACCCCGCCTTACCCTATATAATCATTGTTTATCTTGTTTTTAACTTTATTTATTGTTTCTTGATTTACTGTTTGTGAACTTAGTTTATTCCAATCGATTTCAATTTTATTGGTAAAAAAAGTGTATCTTGGTAAACATAATTTTATGATCTGCTTTGTGATGAAGTGCTAAATTCCTCAATGCAGCTGGTTGGTATTTAAAGGGTTTATGCAACTGATAGTTTTAAATCTCTTGTTGATTTATATTGATAGATTAGGTTACCCCTTGCTCTTTGTGTTTCACATAATTCCTAAAAAACACATAAAGAAATAATTCCTAATCTTTTTAACTGGTCTTCATAGCTGTAATTTCTTAACTAATTAATAATTTTTGTCGCTCTTCTTTGAATGCTTCTTCATAGCTGTAATTTCTTACCTCATTAATTTTTGTCGCTCTTTTTTGTGGGCATTCTACAGTTCTAATGTCACCTTTTAAGTACAGACAACAGACAGGCACTGCATATTCCAAGTGAGGTCTTACTAATTATAGATACAACTGTCTTATTACGAAGCTGTTATTACTTTTGAACGTTTTTTTCTTGCTTAATAAGTTATAGTTGTAACATGTTTCTTCCATTTAAGGTCTTTTGTGAACAATACACCTAAGTCTTTTTTCTTTTCAATTGTTACCATTATATGTTTATTTAGTTCGTAACTATAATTTTGGTTTTTTTGAAAAAAAAAGCATTACATTAAATTTTTTCTTGTTGAAAGTCATCAAACATGTTTTAGCCCATTCCAATTGTTTATTAACAACATGTTGTAAATTTAAATGTTTCATTAGAAACAGCAGCTATTTTTGTATAATCTGCAAACAGTTTGCAATAACATATAATATTGTCCAACATATCATTAATGTATAGAACAAATAGTATGGGTTCAGGATTGAGCCTTGAGGTATTTTGCTAGTTACCTGTATCCAATTTGATGTAAAGTCTCCTGATGTGACACTGTTTTCTATTGGTTGGAAAAGCACAAATCCATTTTCATTAACTATCTATCCTATATTTGCCTAATTTATGAATAATTTTTTTTATGGGAAACCTTATCTAACAGTGTCCTTAATTTAGTTGGTAAGAAAATCGTAAATTATATATATTTATATATATACTCTCTCATAATCTTTTTTAGTTTTTCCCATAAAATGTAAACAATTTTTTTTTTAATAAATAAATTTAGAAGACCAAAAAAAGTTTAAAAACTTACAATAATATATTTTTTTATTTGATAATTTGCCTGCCCAAATCAAAACCTTTAGTTTATATAATGGCATTCCTTGCATATTCTACCTATTTGTCAGTCAATGTAGTAGCAATGTAGCAGTATGATTTGCATGTTTTATCTATCCTATTTGGTAGTCAATGTATGCACTGTTGTAAAAAATGACCAAAAACTACTTTGAGCTGACCCAAAAAACCGCTTTGACAGGGTGAAACTACAATGTTTCCTGACTCCAAAAATGTAAAATTTGAAATCTAACTATTTCGTCCAAAAAAATAATTTTGATTTTTAGTTTTTAGTACTTGGCACAATAGGGCGAAATAACAGCTTTTCAAATTTTGCATTTTTACAGCATTCAAAAACTCTTCAAAATAAGCATTTATTACTCCAAAACATAACTGTCTAAAATTCACTTGAATAATAGTTTATTCTGACACAACTGATATAGTTTTTCATTAACAAGATGGAAATAATAAACACTTTCTTAAATAATTCTTTTAGTTATTCTAAGCCAAAACACAAAAACAACCTCTTGATTCTAAACACATAAAGAGCAAATGGTACATAAAATAAATTCTTCTCAATATTTGATTCTTCACAAATGCTTACTGTTGTAGTCCACAACACATGAAAGAAGCCTCTTTGCATACTCAGGATGATTGCGGTCTCTTTTGTATCTCTGCCAATGTGAACTGAAATTATGATGCATTGATTCTGTTGCCTGCTCACTAAAGATCCCCAAGAGAGCCCTTTTGATCTCAATGAATTGCTTCACATGGAAGAAAACAGCATGAACTTTTGGAGTCACACTGATGTTAATGATTGCCAAATATGAGTCTCTGAAGCGATCAATTTTTTCAGAAAAGTCATCCTCCAGAACCATACCAAAACATGCTGTCACCACAGACTTAAACTTTCGAAGGGCATCAATGATTCCAAAGACTTAAAAAGCAGACTCAGTCTCTGCAATTCTTTGAAGGAGGTCAAGATTGCTGAGTAGCTTGTGACAGGCATTCCCTGCAAACTGCCCACCATGGTATGGTTCTTGTTGAATTTGGAGAGCTGAGGGCTACTTGACAACATTGGGCCAAACTTCTGTCATGGCTTTGTACATGTGATTGACCACACCAAGGAGAAGATGGAGTTCCATTGGTGGTATGAGCTCCAAGATGAGTTTGTTTTCAGAACCAGATAGCAAAGGCTCATGCACTACATTGCCAAAAGATTTTGCCTTTTTGATATCACCACCAGACTTAGCAAACTCTTGATAACAGGCAACAAGTGAGCCTAGTGTCCTCAAAGATCCTGATTGAGAAAGATGCTTTGATTCTGTGTTGCACCAAGAGCAAGGGTGAGTACTTGCATGGCTCTGAAGGCCACAAAGGATGTTGGCAAGTTTCATGTCGCATGATACAACAAAGTTGACTTTGTCTAACTTGATTAAAGACAAGATCTGCCTCACATTTTCAAAGTTTTCTAGTAGTCCTTCTGATAAAGCCACAAGCATTTGACGCTTTACACTACTGTCTTTGGCAGTCCTCTGAGTTAAAAGTTTTTTCTGTGGTGGTGACCTTGAATCACAGTGAGAATCCAACTCCATGATGCCAAGAGAAACTTTCAGAAATCCTCCACCTCCATCAATTCCCAACTTGACAATATGATTCTGGAAAACTCTTCGAGAAAGCAGGACTTCATTCAAAAGCTCAGCAAGACTGTTATGTTTTAGAGTAATAAATGCTAATTTTGGAGAGTTTTTGAATGCTGTAAAAATGCAAAATTTGAAAAGCTGTCATTTTGCCCTATTGTGCAAAGTACTAAAAACTAAAAATCAAAATTATTTTCTCGGACGAAATAGTTAGATTTCAAATTTTACATTTTTGGAGTCAGGAAACATTGTAGTTTCACCCTGTCAAAGCGGTTTTCTCGGGTCAGCTCAAAGTAGTTTTTGGTCATTTTTTACAACAGTGTATGTACACTCCTTGTACATTTTCTCTATGTTTTAGTGGATGTAATAAAAATGTTTTTATTTTTACTAAAAAAATAAAAAACATTATCTATTAAGTAGCGTTTTTGTGGTTTTTAAAAAAACAATGTAATTTAATTAGCTTCCTTAATTAAATTTATTAGTTTTTACATAAATTTCACTTGATTTGTCATTTTTAAACACAAAGAGTTGTTAAGAGCTGTTTTTATCACAAATATTATTTGTAAAGCCTTTACTATAGGAATATATATATATATATATACATCAGTGACATATCCAGAAGTTATTTGAGGATAACTTTTTTAAAAAAAACTTTCTCATAAGAATGTGGAAAATTGTACTTTTTTTTTACAGGACCATCACATTCTATCACAACTAACGCTATCTTATTGACAAGAGATTTACATGCTATCTTATTGACAAGAATTATATACACTTTTATAATTCCTTTTACCTTTTATATAATTCTAAAACTATATTCATAATTGAGGACTAGAGTTTGCAATCAAATTTAGGCGCCAAAACCGGTATATACTGGTGTCAAAACCAGCTTGAATATGCCACTGTATATATATATATATATATATATATATATATATATATATATATATATATATATATATATATATATATATATATATATATATATATATACACACAAAATTAAAATGTTATCGACAAAATAGAGAGCTTAATGTTCTTAAAAGAACAGAGCAATAAAAAATTTGTAGATAATCACTATGCTTCATCATGAAAGACTCATCAGAAATGTTTCATCAGTAAAAATTCATCATTTCTGATGAGCTTTTATTGATGAAACACATTAAGTGTTTAATAAAAAAATTTTGTTAAGTGATTTTTTACTAATTTATATAGTATTTATATAAAATTTATTTATAATTAAATGCTATTAAAATACTTATATAAAAACTTTAGTTACACAACGGTAAATTTTAAAAAAGTACTTTCGCAAGGTAGTGTTAGGACATAAAAATCTATATTCTAACTCCCAGCCGTTTTGAGCTTGTGAATTAATAAAAACATGCCATCTATATGATTGCAATACTTTATACCTTTGATTCTTGTTATATATAAAAATTTTAAAGTATTGCACCTACTCTGGAATCCCTATTTGATTTTATTTTTTTGGTTATAGATAAACCCCTATAGAATTGTTTTGTTACAAATTTAAGCTGTTAACAGACTTCAAAAATCTTTTTTCACAAAAAAAAAAAAAAACTGAACTGACCTATACATCTGTTATTATCATGTAAAACCCATCCATCTTCACATGAACAATTATAACTTCCATTAGTATTAGTACAAATACTATGATTCCAATCACATAAAAAACTTGTGTTATTTTTGCATTCATCAATGTCTAGAGAAATGAATTAAAACATAAAAAAACAATTTTCTAATCAAATTTTGTTCAAAAAAGTGGCCATGTCACATGTCACATAAATACATTACTATAAGTCAAGCAGTTCAATCATTTTTTAGGGAAGCCAACATACAAAAGCATTTACAGTTTAGTTTCATTTTTCTTATGTTATCTTATGTTTTTTAAATTATTTTTTTAATGTCATAATGTAAACATATTTCTTTAAACCATTTTTAATGATGTTGATTACAATGAATGAAAGCATGTAAGTTAATTTTTATTTCTGCAATTTAATTCATTTTTTTAACTTTTCAAATAAATTTAATATATATATTTTTTAGGTTTTTTATACTTTTATTTCTTTTATATATAAAGATTTTACCTATTAAATGATAGTGAACAGTAACTTAGAAAAATTTGTTTGTTTGTTTTTGTTATTTTTCATTTTTAATAATTCTTTTCTTTTCACTTATTTTATTATATTATATTTTTTTAACTTATCTTGGTTTGTTTTTTGTTTTTGTTTTTTTTTTATTCTAATTTTGTTTGGATTTTTCAATCTTATTTTACTTCTATTTTTTCATATATCTTAAAAACAAATTTTTGACTTTTCCTTACTTCAATTATTTTTTTTAATTTTTTATTTCATTGTGAAATAAACACCTTTACCATTTGAAATGTCCTAGCAAAAAGATGCCATTTAGAAACTAATTATATTTTTGTCAACATATATTAAAGTCTATATTACTTTATATTACTATTTACATTTAAATTACTTATTCATTATCAAAATATAAGCAACAGACGTGCAATTGTTTACCTATTTATTGGACAAAGATTTATAGATTTTAAAATATTTAAAAGAAGATAGTAAAATAAACTCTTTAGTCTATATCATAAAATGTTATGGTAAAAAAAAAATTATTTAAAAAGCAACATGATAATTACTGAAACCAATATGAGAGTGTTGGAACTTTATATTTAACATGCAAACTTATTTTAATTGCATCATCTAGTAAGTACTTATAAAAGAAGAAAATTTGTTCAGACTAATCACACTAAACTTTGTCAAAATTCACACTGAACTTGGTGCATCAGAAAATTTTAAGTATTCACACTAAACTTGGTACATCAGAAAATTTTACTATTCACACTAAACTTGGTGCATCAGAAAATTTTAAGTATTGACAAACTAGTTTAGTGTTTGAGAAATGTTAATGTGTTAAAAAGAACTTCATGTGTTAAAAAGAACTTCTCAAAACCCAAAAGGAGAAGACCTTTTTGTATATTGATAACAAGAAAAATCTAATAAAGGTACTATATAAAGGCATGCTGCTTAAATGTTTCCAGATGGCAATTTTTATAAAATATTTTTGTTATCCATTAAAACATGATATATTCTAAACTAATGCTGATTATTAGAATAAAAACATTTCGAAACTAAAATATTCCGAAAATAAAAATATTCCTTAATTATTTTCAAATTGAAATTTTCTAATTTTTTTGAAAAAAGATAATGATAAAATTTATTGCTTTGACAAATTGAGTTTTACAAAAAAGGTGCAATAAAAAACTCTTTTTAATTTAGTAATCAAAAATCAGATTTGAATAATTTATGATATGAACTAGCTAAAATAAACTTTAGTTTTTCCCTATTCTGTTATGTAATACCCCAGTCAATAATGATCCATTTTATGGACACTAGTAGTATGTACAAGTAGCAATATTTTTTAATTTAAATTTTGAATGTTTTGTAATTTAAAATTTATGATAATATAATTCTATAAGTCAAAAGAATAACAAAAAAAGTTCTGACTTTTTTCATTTCATTACTTTATCATTTATAATTGTTAGCACATGCACTTTAGTTGTTTTTTTTTTTTGTTTTTTTTTTTTAATAATTTTGATACATGAGTAATCAATAACTCAATTTCATCAACCACATTAAATTGATTTATAGAATGTTCGAAGTCAAAAAAATAATGTCAATTTAATATGAAAATTTACATACCAATGCAGCTATTATCATCATACATCCATCCATTCTCACAGGAGCAGTTATAACTACCAGCAGTGTTAATACAAATACTGTGATCCCATTTGCAAACATCACTTGAGCTGTTACATTCATTGTAATCTACAATAGGTAAAACAAAACTATAAAAAAATTGACAACATATTTAAAACTGAAATTGAATTGTATTCTTTAAAAAAGCAATGGGTGGGCATTTTATTGTACAGTCAGCTTTAACACCCATAAAGAGGAACTTTAATACCTTTGTAGAGAGGAATTTTATCACCTTCATAGAGAGGAATGCTTGCATATCAAACCAACTGTTACAAAAATATATTTGCTGATTACCAGTATATATGATTAGACTTATTGTTGTGAGATTCAAAAAAATATAGAAAAATATTTAAGAGGTGTATGGTAAAATAACTTTATTCAAAAATTTAATAAAAAATTTAATTTTATTAAAAGCTTGATAAAATCTGGATAAAGTGTAAGTAATATTGATTGTAATTTATAATATTAACTGTATTTTATAATATTAATTGTAATATATAATATTAATTGTAGTTTATAATATTAATTGTAATATACAGCGTTAATTGTAATTTATAATATCAACTGTAATTTATAATATTAATTGTAATTTATAAAATAATTGTAATTTATAATATTAATTTTACTTTAGATGTTCAGTAAACATGACTTAACAGAACATCTTAACTAAAGATTACACTATGTTAATCTTTTCTTGATGTTTGATGTTTAAAATAAATAAAGATCTAGAAAGGCCTAAAAACTAGCAGATGCTAATTTTATAATGATCTTGATATATGCTTTCTAAAAAAAATATATATATCATGCTCATTGAAAAAAATAATCAAACTAAAAGACCTTAATAGAAATATATTATATGAAGAGAGAGAGAGAGAGAGAGTAAATTAAAGCCCATATTTTATTTAAAACTCTTTAGAACACATCATATGAAGAGGTAATAGTATTCAGAAAGCTTTTAAATGTTTCTGTGTCTCTGTTTAAATCAACTGTGTTTCTGTGTCTCTGTTTATTAAACACTCTTTACATAATAAAAACCTTTTTAGATACATATTTTTTAGATATATATTTTTAGTTTCAAAGATGTTCTATACTAAAAGATTAGAAAAAGAGAAAAAAATACATTATGCATAGCATGATATTTTTAATTACATTCTAAAAAAACAAAAGAATCAAATAAACTTAAAGAAAATAACATAGCTTTCTATGAGTATGTAACAGAGTTTAAGAATTTTAGAATTACTTCACATAGGTTTGCGGTAGGTTTTACATTTCTTTATTCAAGTTTTATATTTCTTTTCTAATAAATATAAAAATAAAAAAGGGCTCATAAATATATAAAAACATAAAGAAAAATATAAAAAAAACATTTATTGTAGTTGAAAGTGATATTTAAAAAGCTATTTATAAACTTGCCTACACATCCAGTATAATTTTCAGAAGGAGCAAATCCAGAAATACATGAGCAGTTATACTCATCAGCAGAAATAAGGATGCACAAACTGTTATCCACAGTGATTTGTGAACCAATGTGAGTATCGGGTGTACTTGCCTGATTACCAGAATTACCATTTAAAGCTATTTAAAAAAAAACAATCCATCATATTTGAGTTATCATTGCTAACAAAATATTAATATAACAATAAAATTAACAATAGTAATGGTGATAACATTAATAACAACAATAAAAATGATAATAACAAAAGTAATGTGAGCAAAAATGTTAAAGCCTTTGTATTTTGTTTGTAGATTCTTAAAACAATGACTTTTAGAAAGATCTTAAAATAACTTTTAGAGAGATTTGTAAATTATTCTATGGACAACAGAAAATGATAATATACATTTATAAAGATATCTTTTTTTAAATTTTTACAATCCATCATAGAGACTTCTCAATCAAATTAGACTCAAAGATCATATTTTCTCTAACTTATTCACCATATACAAATTAAATACGGTTAAACACTTGTTCAGAAATTTAAAAACATTAGAAAAATGTTTTTTAATGAAACTTATGAACTATAATGGTTAAAAATTTATACAGAAGGCAAATCAAAAATATATAAAAATGTTGAAAATTTTTAATGAAACTTGTTTTTACTTTTAACTTAAAAATAATTTTTCTTAAAGCATTTAATTTTTCTTAAAGCATTTAATTTTTCTTAAAGCATTTAATTTTTCTTAAAGCATTTAATTTTTCTTAAAGCATTTAATTTTTCTTAAAGCATTTAGCTTTAAAAATAATTGCGCCTAAAAAAATGACATTAAAAATAAAAAATGTATAACTTCATAAATGTATAATAAGACTTGCTTAACACATTGTATCAGCACTAGACACTTTTTATTTTTTTTTATCTACAAAATGCTTTAATAGTTAATTGTTTAATTAAATGCTTAGCAATTAGCTTATATCCTAGAAGCATTGAAACATAACTATTAAATTCTAAGATAAACTTTTCAAAGTATCTGCAACTATGAAGTAATTAAAAGTCTGAATGTTGCTCATATAAGTTCTTCTTAACCTCTCTTTCATTTTCTTATCATAAATAAGAAAATGAAAGAGAATTAATGCTGTTTTTTGTTGAGTTTTTTAAACAAGGACTAAGTCTGGAAAATTTTGGCTAGTTTCTATGGTTTCATTTTCATGGGTTTCATAGTTATCTCATAGATTTTCATGGATTTCCATGAACCCTTTTGGCTTCCAATTATTACCTTTTATTTGTCTGTAGATTCAAATTGTTTTCTCATGGATTTTATGATTTTACTTTGGGTGTTAACAATTACACTACGGCACTGTATAAAAAAAAACCCTGGTCAATTAGAGTCTGGGAACAAAACACTGAAAAACTTTTGCCATGTAGCTCAGTGAGCGCTAGATGAGTACTACATTATGCACCATGAATTCTACATTATTATTTTTCAAAACTCAATTGATGTCTGTAAAAATTTTTTTTTTGTGTTTGTTTCACACAAAGATAGATTTTATGATCATAGCAAATGTGATTAAGTTGTTGTGAGCGAAGGCTACTTTTAGTGCAAACACTTGCCCCATTCATAGTTTGACCAATGAAATCTTGATCAGGATCCATGCTGAAAGTCATTAATTGATGATTTTGCAGCCTCAACAATGTTTTTGCATCAAATTCATTACCCATTTTGACCATACCAAGATTTTGGTTGTAATTGTTGGGTCCATAAATATGGTTCATAACTTTAATTTGTTTAAATGTTATCTCATCACTCAGATATATTTCCTTCAGCACTTTGTCCTTAAAATACAATGCTGAGCTACAAATTGTTGGACAAACTTTTTAAACATTTTTGGTAGCTTCAAGCTTGGTGTAACTTTCAATCAGCTTTTGCCCCAACGGATTCACAATTTTGTTAAAACAATAAAATTTCAAGATCTGATGCTACCTTGATAACAATTTCGTAAGTCAATATAAGTTTCACTTTGAAAAGGAGTCAATCATTTTTTAGCAAGATTAAAGTTTCACAGAACTTTTGGACTTGTCAAAAGTAGAAGAAACATGGTGATATTGATGGAATTCTGTAAATGAGCATGAACTTGTATTGTATTGTAGTCTGTTCATTTAATGATTTCATATTAAGTTCTGTCAGGATTGAAGGTGCATTCAACATGAAACTTATAATTTAAATGTTTAAATATGTTCAAGTTTGAAAGTCATATAAGTTGCAATTGTATAATATATAAAAATTATTATGTTAATTAAATTATATTAATATATACTAATTAAATATATAAAAACGTCAAAAATAATTATTATTTTATAAAAAAGTATTATTTTAGTTTTTAGTGAAGAGAAAATGACATTTTTTTTTAACTAAAAACAAAAAATAGGGAATTTAACAAGATTTTTTTATAATTTTTTTTAAGCTATGTTATTTTATAAAATAATGATTAACTTTAAAATTTTTAAAAAAATTCCTCTTTTTTAGAAACCCAACATGATATACTTTTAAAAAACTCTTGATAATTATAGTGACTTGGGTGCAATAAGTGACCAGGGCCCTTACCTCGGCCAAAAATGAGATATTTTACAAATCTGGCCTTGGCCCTAGCAAAATTATAAGATTTAGCAGAGGTTGATAACCGGGGCTAGAAATAAATTTTTTAAATATTATAACTTTATAATTACATTTACTATCTATTAAATTCTGACATATTTATGGTAGTATTTAATAAATAGAGACAGATACAGTAAAATGATGCAACTTGTTGAATTAGAAGCTAAACAAGAATGAGTTTTGGTTTATTATAATAGAGATGATAGCTCGTTTGAGCATTGACCATGATTAGAGAAACAGCATAAAAGAGAAAGGCTAAAGCCTGATGATGTCATCATCAGCAGCAGATGATGATGATGATGTTGATGATAATAATAATGATGATGGGGATTATGATGACAATGGTCATGATCATAATGATGATGACCATGATGATCATTATGATGATGATCATGATGATGATCATGATAGTGAACATGATGATAATCATGATGATGATCATGGTAATGATCATGATGATGATCATAATGATGATGATGATCATGTTTATTATAATTTTTATAAAAGCATATATACAAAATACATCTACATACATCAACTCAGCATTTGGGCTATGGCAGGCAATCTTGCTGCCAATCATAGCCCAAACCCTTACCAATATGTATATATACAAGATGTATGTAACTTATTTGTTTATTCCTAAGCATAAATAGCCAAATACATATACATCTATAATATATATGTATATGGTATATGTACATGTAAAATATAAATATGTATATGTATAAATAGTCAACTGCGTATACATACAGTAAGTATAAATAGCTGCATCCTTTATTAAACTTAGTTTATAAGTTTGAAGTGGATAATTATATAGAATTAATATTTTATTTATTACTTTATCTAAGTCTATACTTATTTTTTTAATTTTGCATCTAACTACTATCACTTATATATAATATAAACAAATATCATACAAAGCATCTAACTATAAATATAAATCTATAAGTAGACAAGAAAGTTGCTTTTATTTATTTCTAGATAACAATAACCTTGTGATACGTTTGAGCACAAGTGAAAAGACTATTATGTAAGTATACTTTTTGTCATAGATGTTAATTAAGCAATTTTTTATAAACTGAATTTTGTTTCTTTAATTAAAAATAAGTTGAATTAAAGTAAGCTTCAATAAGTAAATTTACCTGATTTTGGCTTTACTCCACAACCAATCGTAGAACAAATGTATAACTAAAATTATTAAGAAAAATAATTTATAGCTGTATAAGATGTTAACAACAAAATTTATACTTAAAGACAAAAAAAAAGGGGAGATAATTATATCAAAACAAAATAAAAATTTTTAAATTTTACGTGTTATTATTGCAACAAAAAGCTTAACAGTCATCAAAACTAATATATATAGTAAATATAGTTTTCAACAGTTTTTTCTATTGACATTGCAGAGCAAATTTGTTTTTGGAAATCATAAAATGGATTAGTATAAGGGATTAGAGATTTTAAAACCAAAGTTTTAATCTTATCAAGTACCTAAAGACCTGAGCTATTCATGACACAGGTGTCTTGATTAGACCAAGTGCCAGATATTGATACAACTATTACAATTTAGATCTGATATTGTATATTAGGATTGCCAGGCAGCAAACAATCCTTAAATTCTAATGTACATGCTGATGTTTTCTAGTTAGCTAAATAATTGACCAGTAACATGGTTTAAAGTTTTGATCATTACAAGGATCGTTAATAAAAGAAATATAAAATGAATATTTTAAAAGATCAAAGAATTAAGGAATTAATCATTGAAAAATTAATCATTGAATTAAAATTTTTTAGTTGGCAAGAGATGTGTTGTGCCATATTGAGTAAAATTATTAACAGAGAAAGGTGTATTCTGAAAATAAAAATATGTAATATGTCAAAATAATTTTTAAAATGCTAATTGACTTGTCCTCTCATCAAAATTAGTATTTAATACTAAATATCTCCTCCATAATATTAATCTCCTCTAAAATACTAAACATCTCCATAATATTAATCTCCTCTAAATTACTAAATATCTCCTCCATAATATTAATCTCCTCTAAAATAGTAAATATCTCCTTCAGTGACAACAAATAAAAATACTTATACCATTACTAGTGATAGTGACAACAAAAATAAATTTTCTCAGCAATCTTTTCTGACAGAATATTATTTTCTGTGTCTGCTTTCAACTTTAACAAGAATATCTGAGTGGCAACCTTCACTAAAACAAATCAAAATGCAACAAAAAAAACAAACTCTTATAACACTAACAATGTTAAGAACATCTAACAAAAAAGTAGTAACATGGCAGTAGTACATCATTACCCAAAATACTTAATACTAAGTAAGTCATAATATTGCATACAAGGTATCCATTTTGAAATATTTTTGGTGTGTTGTTAGTTGAGTTAAAGCCAAACATAAAAAAGTACAATAAGTTTAATCTACTTTACAAATTATAAACATTAATTTCAAGTAAAATATTTTAAATCTAGTTGGGCTAATATTCCTGTAAGTGCAAGAAAAACTAGTCCAGCTTCTTACTAAAGGTTTTACTTTATTGCACATTCAACTTGACTTACCATAACAAGACTTAGTATTTTGCTTTTAAATTACAATAAGACATGCACTTCAAACTTTGAATACATTTATAAAATTATTGGCTCAAGAACTTAAACCATTCAGAAAGCAGCATACTCCAGAAGAAAAATAAAGTTTTCCACATTCTAAAAAGTTTTTTTATATTGAAGGTATTGTTGACTGAACAAAACCTTCAATTCAACAAACAATTCAAAAGTGACCTACATTAAAAACAAATATCAAGCATATAGTTTTTATGAAAGTGAAAATAAATAACAAAAAAACTCATCTTTTGTATAAAAGTAGTTCTACCTTTTTTGTTTCTAAAACCTAATCTGAATCTTTAACAGAAAACCAGCTTAAAGCAAATCTTTAACAGAAAACCAGCTTAAAGCAAATTGTCACCTTTATTATGTTCTTACAATTTTTATTTTTAAACTTTGAAAAAATATAGGGATAGGTGAAAAAGTTTTTTTTTTATATATTATAATTAGTTTATTTGGTTTAATCTGGATATTTTAAATAAAACTATGGATATCAATATACCAACTGAAAATAAAATGGAAAGAACCATTTTGGTGAATATTTATAGAAATGAACATTAATATAACATTTAATACATTTTATTTAAAATAAGAGTTTATCAAATAGCTAAATTGGAATGGAATGGAATTCATGGTCTTTTAGATCGATTACATTTATGTTTTAATAAATTTGAAATTTATCAGTGTAATCAGCAAATGAATGACTGTTTTCATTTATATTTGCAACCTATTTTATTTTCGGAATAAACCTAAAACAAATGAAAGTACCTATTGTATTATTAATAGTTAATCTATAACACTTATCCTTATGCAAAGAGTAAAAGAAGGTGAATGAAATATGAAAATGAAATAATGAAAAATGATAAAATGAACATATTTTAAGGATTAAACATAATTTTGGACTTCAAATTTAAACTAAAACTGAAGAAAAACACTACTAATAAACTTTCATCCAACTCTACTATCTCAGTTTGTAAAATGAATCAGCTGTGAAATATGATGTGAGATAATGCCAACCTAAGAAACTAAAATTACTAATTTTGTCCCAAGTAAAACTAGTCCAAGTAACCCTGTTTTGCGGTATATATGTAATACAAGTATTTTTACCGATAAAATAAAAATTATAACCATGATATATTAGATAATGATGACTGCTATCATCAAGTAAAAACTATGCCTACATAAGATGTCTACAAAAGATTGTACAAAGGATTTAGTCACTGATACTGACAAGTTGGTTAAAAAATTAACTTTTACTTCATTAAAAACAGAGTTCCATCGCAAAAGTAGTTAATTTCAACTAAAATATTGCAAATATATAACTATTTATAAATTGGTTTATTTATAGAATACTATACTTATATGCTTATTGTATTTATTGATCAAGATTTTATTACTGAATATATATATATATATATATATATATATATATATATATATATATATATATATATATATATATATATATATATATATATATATATATATATATATATATATATATATATCTGTGTGTATCTCATATATTTTTTATAACACCCTTCAAGGTTCAATGGTTAAAACATGTGTTCAAAGGTTTAAACAAGGTTCAATTTGAACCTTGTTTGAACCGTTCAAAGGTTCAAACATGTGTTTGGATTCATAAACAGGGATAGTATTTAGTTAGGCTAAACTTAATTAGAGCTTCTCATTAGGTGGTTGAAAATCATGCTACGCAGAGTAAATCAATCATTAAATATTTAGGCAGCATTTTGTTGAGGTATCTGTCTGTGACTAAACTCTTTTCAATTTTCAGTAAATCAAAGATGGAGTTGTTTATAGTGGTGGAAATATAAAAAATGATCAAAAAATGAAAAGTAAATTAATTTGGATTTTTTTTTCTTTTTGTTATATTTTTTTTTCATGAAAATAACGTCGGAACTAACAAAAAAAAAATGTGGATCATATTTAGACCTTAAAACACTTTTAGGTAGCCATCATTGTACATTGCAAGGCTGATTTGACGTAAATAAAGTTTATATCAATGGGCTGCCTAAAAATACACGTCCGCCCATAACAACGTCCTTAGTTATTATAAGCTAAAATTTATTCCTTATTTTTCTCAAATATTTACTTAATTTTAATGTTTTACCATAGTCATAGAATTTAAATACTGTGACTATGGTTTAACTAATTTCTCAAAAAATTTTCCTAATTTTAATTAATGGTCGTCGATAAATTATATCATGCTTTATTGAGGAAGGAGGAGGGGGGGAAGGGAAGGGTCAGTGGTTTTGTGACGACACGTGTGGAAATTGTTACTAAAGAGTTACGATATTGAGCCAAGGAGGGAAGGAAAGTATAAAACGGTCAAAAATTACGTGTCGTAATATGTAGACGACCTCTCAAGACATTCACAAGAATTTAACTGCTACGGTCTTTACCGGTCCAAATATCACATTTTGTAGCGACAAACATTACTTAAATAAGAAGATAGGTTGTTATGGACTAAACCAATATTCGACGAAGTAGAATAATTGCTTTTGCTTACAAGTAACTATAAAAAACAGTTAAAGTCGACTAAAGTTCGAATTACCGGGTTTCAATACGGCCGAATACAAATGTGGCAGATTTAGAGTCATGCTTGTGGAGCTCATGGGTTGGAGTCTAGGTTAGTCAGCAATTTGTTAAGCCCCTAAATTCTCCTCAGTAAGAAAGTTTTCCGATACTGTTTTTGAGTCTAAATTAAGGTTTTGTTGATAATAATAACCATCAGACATTGAATACCATATATAAGACATTCAATGCATGATTTAATTAAAACCTTTTATATATCATTAAAGACTTCCTACAAGGTAGAAAACGGTTTTCAGGGTTTGCAAAATATATGATGACAATACCAAATCCTTGAATGGTTTTCAAGAAATAGAGTTTTTAACTTCTTTGTAAGCTTTTGGCTTACAAAGAATTTAGTGATAAATTAAAAGAAAATGAAACAGCTAATTCATAGCAAATTAGTGCTTACTGACTAAATATTACCATACATTTATTTCTTGTATTATTTTCAAATAACTTATTTGCACAATTACTTTAACTCAAAACATGATAACCAGAGATAGACTTGAGCATTCAACTTAGATTTTTAAAACTGTGGTTATGATTTATACAGCTCCGATCGATCATCTGAAACATATTATTGTATTTGCATATGTGGAAAATATATGTTATATGTGAAAAAGCGTTTACAATTACGATTTTGCTTTATTCATTTACGATGTTTCAAAAATACCATTTTTAATGGTCGAAATTCACATACTTTGTTACTTTAAATGCGTCATCATATATTTAAAATTGAAAATATGTTTTGATACAATATTGATCTAACTGTAAAATTCATTCATGATAACATTGTAAACATTATTTTAAATACAATTTTTAATCTTTTTCAGCGCACCTCTAATTTTCTAAATTGTTATTTCAGTTCCTGATGTACTGAAATAACTAGTGGTTGTTTTGAAAAAAGCACTTGTTATTCAAGCACTGTATTAGCTAAATCAACTCTAAACTGTTAAAATAAAAACAAAATACAGTCAAATTTTTGAT